ACACACACACACACACACACACACACACACACACACACACACACACAATGGAGAAGGGGCAGAAAGACTGCCAAAGCCAAAAGTTGGCAGGGTTGGCTGAAAAGAATCGTCCTCTGGGCAGGACAGGTTCGCTGCACGCATGGACTTACAGTCTGCACAAAGGCACGCCAGTCCCACGCCAGCAGGAGGAGGGGGCAGCTGCAGAGCCCACAGCGACTGCTGCCAGCGTTATCCGCTTTCCTAGGGTGCAGGTCCTGATGGTCGGTCAGTCATGCTTCATCCTCGAGGACACAGGCGGCACACCTGGCCTCACACTGAGCTCAGTGGCTGTATGCATTACATGGGCATGAAGCTGTGGAGGGGTGGGGCTGCGTGTGGGAAGACTTAGGGTATGGGTGAATAGAATCAAAACGCACGTACACATGTTTAACATTCTCAAAGAGCTGATGAAACAGTTCTGAAAAGTCGATCTTGAGCCTGCTTAGCTGAGAAAACGTAAGAAGGCCATATCACATGGACAAAAGTGTCACACTATCCCAGGGCAAAGCCATCACGTGAGTGAAGCAGCCACTTGAGACTTGGCCTCCCTAGCTTCGGACCCACCGAGTGGATCCGGTGAGAGTTCAGAGCTGCGGGAAGTAACCGATTCCTGCTCTGAGTTCCCAGGCTTTGCGGCGAGCGTTACTCATCGCAGCTGTGAGAGCGCAGCAGGCACGAGCTGAAACGCTGCCCCCTGCACAGCACCGAGGCCCTGCCTTCCACCATTACCTTCTACTCAGTCAGTGTGCTAAGATGGTCCAATAAGACAGGCAAGAAATGTCAGCCCGAGCCAGGGGCAACTGGGGTGTCCTGTCTTCAGGAAAAACATTCCACCAACATTTAGAAACTCAGCATAAATAGTGTCCTATGAACCCCGTCTGGGAACCCTGCCTTCTTACGGAATCGTTAGTGTATTTAGATGGATTTCTTTAGAATATGTAGAAGGGCACTCAGTAGAGCACCAAATTCCAGGGTGACATGAAAGAAAAGTCCAGAGGGTCCAAATCCAAAAGAAGAAAGCTGTGTCTAGGAAAGACGCTGGAATTGTAAAGGATGGGCTGAAACTGTATTCCCAGCAAACGCAAGCGATACCTTTCCCTGGAGACAGTGACAGAGGAAACCAAAACCAGTAAGACTAGCCGTGTTTTAGAAATTAGCTCTTTGGGAGAGTGCTCGCCTGGTACCTGGGTTTGCTCCAGCACCACACAAACTAGGCTTGGAGGCACACACCCACGATTCCAGCACCTGGAAGGTGGAGGAATCAGAAGTTCCATGTCATCCTCAGATGTGTAACAAGTTCCAGAGCAGCCTGGGGCACATGAGATTGTAAGCACATGTTATTGTGACCATGGAAAGAGTCAAACACTGATTTCTAGGTCCCCACATCCACCTGCAGCCCTTGTTCTGAGAATCTCGTCTCAACTTTGCTCCCCAATTATTCCCTGATACGTCAATAAAACGGCTTAACAGCCAATCACTGAGCTGGGGACAGAATAGGGCTAGACTTCCTGACAGCCAGGGCAGAATAAGAGAGAAATGGGAACAGCATCATGGGCAGAAAGAAGTCCAGGAGACGTCAGGATGGAGCAGCTGAGGCAAAGAAAGCGTCTCTGCCTTCCTGTAAAATGCAAAATCTCGGGATTTCAGCCAAGAGGAAGCCAGACTAGCTTAGAGGGTTCATATGGACTTCTATCGCTCAGCTGTCCTGTTTTAAGCTTGTTAAATACATAACATAGTTCAGTCTCAATTGTTTCAGTATCAGCTGGGTTAAGAGAGAAACTGCAACACACAATTTTAAAACTAACACTAACATTAGGTCATGAGAACGTGTTGTTTTTTGTTTGTGTTTTGGGTTTGTTTTGTTTTTTTTTAAGGCCTAGAACTAAACACATTTGCTATGTCAAAAATTGTCTTTGAACTCCAAATGACTTTCAATTAAACATAAAAATTCTAACCCATTAATCAACCAGGAGCAAAACTGGTCACAGAAAGAACAGGACCTGCACAGTTGGGGCACAGTGCCCTGGGGGTCTAGTGGACTAGCCACTAATGGAACAGACACCGTTTGTGCCACGAGCTCTCAGATCTTCACTGCTTCAACAGCCTGTCTGCAACAATCCCCTTGTTTAAAATACGCTTTGCATTTTGACTTTCCTACTGGGGAAAGATGCAAAGCCAACAAAAATACTTAGATTGACTTCTTATTGAAATCCTCAATGTGCTTTAATAAAATAATATTTTGCTTTTCTTGTGGAGTCAACAAATGCATGTCAGCTCCCCTGAGTCTGACCAACTCTGGTCACGTTGATCAAATAGCTGGTCTACAGACCTGAAAAGCTGATATTTGAC